ACTATATACTATATGTTATATACTATATACTATATGTTATATGTTATATACTATATACTATATGTTATATGTTATATGTTATATACTATATTCAAGGATAGGAATATATTTTTCCTAGAAGTTAACGCTATCGCCTAGCGGCAGGATGGTATTTGAAGTTAGCCTTGAGGGTGTAAAACGCTCACAGTCGGGTTCGATTCCCGTCAAGTGCGAACTTTCAACCTTTTTTTTTTAAGTACATGTTATATTATTTATAAAACGTATTATTCAATGTATTTTTTTTCTCAGAAAACGTATTATTAACATACGTTTTTAACTGTAAGTTTAAAAAAAAAAAACTGGTGTTTTCAATTGTTTAACCAAAAAATACCTGTTTTAAATATTCAAAACAACCAACCAAATCAAAATTACACTAACAAATCAAGTAATCTACCGTAAATACCATCCAACCAATTCCAATTAAATCATGCAAACAACTTCAAATAAAATAAACCATCCAAAGAAAATCATCCACAACATGAAGTCTCATCCACAAAATAATCTAATTCCCCCACCCATCACGAAGTCTAGACCTATCGGTGCAAGGATGTGAGGACGGACACTCATCCACAACATGATTTGGATCACCGCATCTAGTGCACTGTCCCCTATTCCTCCTGCGGCGTGCCCGACGATCCATTTGTGCGATATCGTCTCGTTTGCACGCGACCAGGTCTAGGCTTCAAGATCATCTTCTCCCAGTGTGGTATCAATTTCCACTCGACCGGCGCCCATGTATCTGGATTACCAATCGGAGCAAAACTCCAATTACTAAATTGAGCAATCCATGTCTCCATCCAAAAATACTCACTGTACAACAGTTTTGGCTCAGTCCCAACTTCACGACAGACGGCTAACGCATGAGAGCATGGTTTCTTATGCGTCTGCCACTTCCGACAACTACAATGTTTTCGATTCTAATAAACCTTATCCCTGTAATAATTACCAGTGATTTATATATATACAATATGAAAAATTTGAATGGACCCAAAAAAAAAAAAAAAAAAAAAAAAAAAAAAAAAAAAAAAAAAAAAAAAAAAAAAAAAAAAAAAAAAAAAAAAAAAAAAAAAAAAAAAAAAAAAAAAAAAAAAAAAAAAAAAAAAAAAAAAAAAAAAAAAAAAAAAAAAAAAAAAAAAAAAAAAAAAAAAAAAAAAAAAAAAAAAAAAAAAAAAAAAAAAAAAAAAAAAAAAAAAAAAAAAAAAAAAAAAAAAAAAAAAAAAAAAAAAAAAAAAAAAAAAAAAAAAAAAAAAAAAAAAAAAAAAAAAAAAAAAAAAAAAAAAAAAAAAAAAAAAAAAAAAAAAAAAAAAAAAAAAAAAAAAAAAAAAAAAAAAAAAAAAAAAAAAAAAAAAAAAAAAAAAAAAAAAAAAAAAAAAAAAAAAAAAAAAAAAAAAAAAAAAAAAAAAAAAAAAAAAAAAAAAAAAAAAAAAAAAAAAAAAAAAAAAAAAAAAAAAAAAAAAAAAAAAAACATATGCTTACTTGTTTTGCCCTCTTCCACTAGCCCCTAAACCGGTTTTCACTTCGTACATGGAGCTGTCGGCGTCCCTAACTCCCACACTATGAGTTGCGGCTGTCTGCTCCAATTGCGAAAATGCGTTAAAGTGCTCCCTAGCAATGAGACTCCTGCATCTCGTGGACTTTTTTTGTTCCTATTGAAACAAATCCAGAGTTTGATGAAATGTGGCGTCTACCAAAGCTCTGCAGGGCAGGAACCTAACCCCTTTCAGGACGTTGTTGTAACTCTCCGACATATTCGTTGTCAATGTGCCCCATCTACATCCTTTATCTTTAAACAGGGTCCACTTGTTCAAAGGAATTTGAAAAAGGTAATTGTGTGCTTCAAAATTCAATTCCAACAATTGCTGTTCTGTCTCTCGTAACTTTCGCTTCGACAACTGCGAACCCAATTCCCAACACCAAGTCCAGATTTTCTTACTACTGAACCTACTCACCACGTTGCTTCGAAGGAAAATCCGGTGATACGCAGCGGGTTCTTGCCAATCTGCTAATGATTCAATGGCACAGGGGAAAATCCCTATCGAAAAGAACGCAGATCCGTCTCTAGAAGACTACATATTGCCGCAGGTTCCTAAGGAAAAATGACCAACTGTCCGTGCTTTCTTCATCGACAAGCGCATACGCGATTGGCAATAGCCGCTTATTCGCAGTCTGTGCTATGGCCACAAGCAATTTTCCCTTGTACTATCCATGCAAATGTGTGCCATCGACGCTAATAACCGGCGGGAACATTTGGAAAGTTTGAATGGTGGGACCAAACGCCCAGAATACAAATTTGAATTGTATGCCTCGAAGGTGTCGCGCCATTTCCCCACTCTGCCATTCCACTCTACAACTGTGGAGGGATCGAAGCGCGGCAAAATACCTACACATTACAAAACGATTTCATAATAAATAAACAAACATAGTGATAGACAAACAACACATATTTTTGTAATTAATTTTTGCTTACTGAGGGAGTTCTGCGAAGTTCGATTCCCAAGTGCCATACACACTCTTGATGGCTTTTCTCCTTCCGTGCCATGCCTTCTTGTAGCTGACATCCACTTTCCAGCACTGTTTCACATCAGCCTGGATCATGCTGACACCGTACTCCACTTTCTTTCGAATCTTATTACAAATGAGATTTGAAATCATTTGGGCGGTTACATTTCTGTGGTCATTTCTCTCGACCGGTTGCATACAAGTGTGTCTATCAGTCCATTCAGTTAGTTCCCACAAATCATGAACCTGTCTAGACTTAGTCACCCAAGCCTTCCACAAACAAGGCGGATCTTCACTAGATCTGCAAACCACTTTGTATGACTTTTTGATTTGAATCATTTGTCCGAATCTCCCGCAACCTATCGACGTTCCAAGCCATAAGAGCCATTTGGGCTTCTTGCTTGCTCCGAAAAACAATACCCAAACGTATGGTCTCAATGTCATCATTCCAGTGTGGAATAGCATACTCGTCCTCATCTATCCTGGACGGCTCCCATTCACCCATCTCACGGTATATGTGCCGACCACCACTAGGAAAGGGGTGTTCTTCTTCAATGAACTCGGCTTCACTCTCTTTATTTACCGATCTATCTGATTCGGTTTCTGAGGTCTCGTCTGTGAAATCATCTTCACCGAGTGCGAACTCTTCGTCACTTTCTTCCTCGTCCTCATTTGCTCTTTCTCTAATTGGTGAGCTTGTCCCTTCTCCAAAATTACGTAGATGAGAAGTCGACGTGCCCTCAACATCATCCACTCCCCCGTACTAAGGAGTAAAATTCTGAAACTGTGTGACCGGTGTAATTGCCTCCAACGATAAATGCAAATACACAACGGAAATAGAAGGAAAGAAATAAATCCACTGAAGAGCACTATCGTTATCGAGTCTTCCAGCATTCCACGAACCATCGGGTTGACGAAACATTAAAGTAGTCTCTTGAATTGTCCAACCTTCTTCAAACCGACAATTTTCATTAATCATTTGTACCAATTGTTCATAAGATATCCTCCCCGTAATAACAAATGAACCATCCGGACGATCCATAAATGAAACAAAATCTCTTAACTGTTCCTTCGAACATCGCCAATACAAATTAACAAAATACGGACCACAATACCATTTATACCTGTTGCAAAAAAAAAACTTTTAATTCTTCCCAATTACAACAACACATAATGTCTAATACAACACCTAAAAAATTCAATTATTCTTTAAACCCATCTTTTTACTCCAACAAAAAAACCAAAAAAAATATTCCCAATCGATTAATCCTCCAAAACCCTAATACCCATAATCCAACAATAACATACAATTCACCTATATTTCGAATAAATTGAAAGCCCTAATTCTAATTCTAACCCTAATTTCAAAAAACCCTAAGCCCAACAACAACAACCAATACACAATTGACAATTTACAACAAAATTCCAATCTCCAATTCAACATACACACATAATCGATAAACAATTCACAATTCACAATCTTCAAACACCACCACATTCAAACATACTATAACAATTACCAATCTCCAAACAACTCCAAACAATGTCAAAAGTTGATATAAGCCAATATACCTCGTGCGAATGAATTAACCGGAAATGAGGTTCGTGTTGTTGTTGTCGATTCACGTCAGGGTGGCGATTGGATCGAGTTTATTTTTTTCCGATAAGCTCTCGCTCTATCTGAAGAATGGTCGCGCAAATGAAATGGAGAAGAAGAGAAGAAAATTTGTTTTTTATTCCATTGTAAAACGTATTACTATAATACGTTTTACACCTATTTAATTGTAAAACGTATTCATAAAATACATTTTTTTATTTTTTTTTAAGAAATTGTATTTAAAAACGTATTATGATTATACTTTTTTTAATATTTTTTATATTTTTTAGTTAATTAAAAACGTATTTATAATATACGGTTTAAAAAATTTTGTTTTAAGTTAAATTTTATAAAATAAAAACGTATTAACAAAATTCATCTTTTAAAACCCTAAAAATCAATTTTAGGGTTTTTTAAAACGTATTTGTGAAATCCATTTTTTCAATTCGACTCTTTTTAAAAGGAAATAATTTTTTTTAAATTTTTTCAAAATTAAATAGAAAACGTATTCTATGAAAACGTATTCTATGAATACGTTTTTTTTAATAAAATGTTATTAAAAAAACGTATTCATAAAATACAAAATGTTATTAAGAAAAACGTATTCATAGAATACGTCCTTTTTATTTTTTTTCACTCCTTTTTTTTATCCACTTGATTTTTTTTTTGAAATAAATAAACTACCCTAAATTCTGGCTCTGCCCCTGCCGACAACTCTCACCACCTTCCTTTTGACGGAGTTTTGGAGCTCCTTGTTGGGTATAGATCTCCTTCTGCACCCCATGTGGCTTCCCAGTGGTCAGATGGCGTAAAGGTCATCGAGCGTGGCGAGTTGGTGTGGTGGTCGAGCTCCTCATCTACAGCAATGGAGGTTCTGAAAGCTTCTCCGACGTTCGGCGACAAGGTGTAGGCGGGAATGGTCGGCTCTCCGGCCTCCGATCACCTTCGAGGTGGCTGCCGCTCCGGCCGGACAGCAGGTCGCGGTGCAGATCCTGGTTCGTGGTGTACGTGCTGCGTTGTGACTTGTGGGGAAGAAGGAGAAGTCATGCACATTTGTAGAGTTACAAATACACCCTTCAATTAAATGCCTTTGGGCCATGCTATTGGGCTTTACTTTTCAATTCTATTTGGAAAAAATTATAATTTTACCATGGATCAACTTTTTTTTTTTTGCATCTTTACCAATTCCATGTCAATTAATTATAAATATACACCAAATTATGATATTTTCAGTTGGCTTGGCTGTGGTTTCCTTTCGGTTAACGGCGGGTCGGTTCGGGGATTCTTCTGGGATTTGGGTTCACCTACTGCTAGGCGTTTGTGCAGTTTCAGTAGCGGGACTTGGACTCGGGATCTTTCTTGTGTCGATCGATCACTACTGGTTGGGGCGGTGTCAACTAGCTGAGGAAGGGCCAGTTTTTATTTGTCTCCTGCTTCGTTTTTGTTTTCGTGTTTGTTTTGTTGGTTTGTTGGTGTTGTTGTTTGTGTTTGTTTTTCTTTTTGTTGTTGTGTGCTAGAATTGCTCCAGTGGGCTCGAGTGCAACTTAATTCTCCTGTTGGGAGCGCACTCGAGTATTCAAAATAAGTATAATCACCTCCCCCAAATTTTGGGATATTTTTAGTTACCAAATAAAATGTAACCGTCTTCCCCTTAAGCGCAGATCGTGGGTTTTCAATTCTCAGGTTTTTTTGAATACGCAGTATATATTGAGTTTATAGTCAGTATATATTTAGTATATAACCTGATTTTTTATTTACATAGGATTTTTCTCTAACCACAATTGTGATATTTAAATTTTTGTTCAGTATATAACCTATCATATATATAAACTGATCATAATCATTACTTTAATAAATTATTTTAATATATGTAGAGTATATGATAAACAAATGAAGCATAGGTCAGATGATAAACACGCGAAGCACGGGCAACGAAAACATATACTGAATATATACTGCCTATACACGTAACATATACTGTCAATTGTGCTTACTTGAACATATACTGAAAAATATATTGTATATAAACGCAACTTATCCCACAACATAATAAATCAAACGAAAATAAACTCTCAAAAAAATTGGAACATCATGAGCTGAAATATCATCAATCATTAATCGTACATATATTGAATATAAGCTAAAATAAAACCAAAACAATGAAAAAAAATCATTATAAAAAAATCTGATAAACACCAGTTTTCCCCCAACCCCGGCGAAATCGACGATGAATCCGAGGACCCCGACCTGCCCCCCTCTTTCCCTGACCTTGAGCCAGCGATCAAGACCTCCATTATAACCCTAGGCAGCGCCACCTTCCCCACGCTTAATTGTGGCCGCTTCCCCAATCTTAACTGGACAATGGAAAATAGAACATACACTATGAAGTTTTTCGCCACAAGGGATTCAATCATGGCCTTGGCATCTCTGACCAGTTCGGTTTTCACCAGGATGTGTATCAACACACAATAGTTGGAATCTTATGTTCGGCGCGCGAATCTTGTGCCGACCAGTGGCCTTGATGCAGAAGATCAACGACGGAGGTGATGAAGGGGTCGTCGTTGGCGGTGGTGGTTTCTGCCGGCCGTGTTGAGGTGGCGATTGGGGAGAAGGATGAGAGGGGATTCTGGATTAGATTCGAATTAATTAAGGGGACTCTTTTTTTTTTCTTTTTTTCTTTTAACGAAACGTTAGAGGTAATATTAACTCAAAGACAAACAAACAATGTTCGAATACAACGAGGAACACCCGAAAAATAAAACTGAGAGGACATGCAAGAAGCATCCTAGAACTCAACAAACCGATAAGAGTACTAAACTCAACTAAAATCCCTCCACTGCCACAAGGCCTAGAGAGTAATACCAACTGGTACGAAACAAAAGATTAACATCAAACAAAAACATAAACTACCTAACCAAGAGAACTAATAGGCTATATATGAGAGAGAATTCCATCCATTCTTGTTGTGCTGCTTTGATGAGCATGTGAGCTGGAGTAGATAAGCCTTGAAAAATCCAAAGATTTTGAGACTTCCAAAGCCACCAAAAAAGATAAGTTGTGAGTTGGATTCATGCTTCGGTTATTTCAGAAAATTCCAACGTGCAAATGTGATTCCACCACTACCTGAAAGAAACTGCAGAGTGCAAGCCATCCCATCTAACTGGGGAGATATCCCAATCTCTAACTGCTTTTGGACAATGGAAAATAATGTGTTCCACTCAGGAACTTCACCACAGGTTTGACAAATTACATCCACATCAATTCCCTTTTTTTTTTCAGTTGTCAAAGACACACGGGATGTGGCTAACAAATATAAACAAAATATATACAATTCGCTCTGGACTGTTAACTTAAATTTCATTTTGTATACAATTTTATTTTGTCCAGCAAATGTATTTTTCATACTCGAGAATTAAATTTCATGTATAGAATTCATTTTGATTAATAAATTTAAATTCTATTTTGCATACATAAGAGGGATTATTTCATTTTGTATATGCAAGAGAAAATTTATTTTCAGCCCCAGTCATATTAATATTGATTAATATTAAATTTATGTGAGACAATAAATTTATGATAATGAAAGAGAGATTTATAGGATATTGATTAATAACAAATTTATGGGAGGCAATAAATTTATAGTAATGAAAGATAGATTTATAAGATAAGATGAAATATTTATTTATGGTTGATTACAAGCCAATTATGTTTCCAAAATTTTTATCCGAACCTAAATACAAATTAAGATATTTTGACACGTATGATTCTAAAGCGTGCGAGTCTGCCACTTAGACTCGGGACGTTTTGAGTTAATATATAATAAAAGGGAAGGGGGATAGATACTCAATAATTTGTTTGATTTTTTTTTTGTAATCTAAATTTTTATAGTAGGTAGTTACGTAATTTTTTCTCGAAACTGTGTTGAAAATAAAATATAAAAAAAAAAAGAGTAAATACAATATGATGCCCATTATGGTCATGGATTATTTAGAAAATTTTTATGGTAAAAACAAAAGGAAAATTTACACCTCTGCGATCAGATTTGTAGTATATTGAGTATTTACGACCAATCAACTCTTATTTGCATATATACCTAAAATATATGATTTAATTAGATCTTTATCTTACTGTAAGTTTCCAAAACTAAAACGACTTCTCCCCTTAATTAACGGCTTTTAATTGTCCTATATAATAATAATAAAAAAACAAATTGCGCATGGTTTTTGGTCTGTTGCCGAAAAACCAGTAGGGGAGGGCGGATCAGATCAATTCATGAAGTCGATCGGAACATATTTGAGCAACACAAAAAAAAAAGATCAATTTTTTTTTTGTTTGATCGAAAAAGAAAATCGATGCAAGTGTTTAAGAAGAACAGCACAAACAAAGAGGAGGGCCGATCGGATTTTTCATTCAGAACAATTCACGCAACATATTTGAGCATCAATTTCTGGTATTCTTCCGGCTCCTCCGTTGCCATCGACATTTTTCGTACAGAAGCTCATGAAGCCATTGAAAACGCGTTATATACTAAAAATATACAGAATATAAACTAGTCTCCTCAAATGTCGTCGATGTACAGAAAATATACTGAATATATACTAAAATATACATATTCGAGTGTACAGAAAATATATTCAAGTGTGTAGAAAATATAATTTTTCGATGAAGCTATTGAAAACGCATTATATACTGAAAATATACAGAATATAAACCAGTCTTCTCAAATGTCGTCGATGTACAAAAAATATACAGAAAATATATTTGATAATATACATAAAATATCCTATGTTCGGCAAGGGCTTCGTCGGAGGGGAGGTTGCTCAGCCCGATTGTGCCGCGAAGAACGAGGATGTAGACGAATAGGGTTTGCAGTTGGTGTGGGAGAGAGTGAGGGAGAAGTTGTGTAGACCTATGAGTCGTGGGGCGGTTACCGAGGTGTGAGAATACTTTCTTATCAACTACATCGGGAGCAGTTATTTGGAAGGTGAGATTTCACCATTAATTACGTTGATTCTTTATTGTATATGTAAGATAAATATTTGCTTGATATATGGAATTGTTACAAATAAAATCTATAGATTACATAATTTTGCTAATATTTATACCGGGGCATTATTTATGTAATAAAAACTTATTTGTACCGTAACAGGTGCAATTTTCTCAAAACAAAATCACAAACAAATGTCACTCAGCCTATCATTGAACAAGAGATCCAAACAAATGTTACTCAGCCCATCTTTGTTAGCTATATTTTAGGCCCAACTGTTTCACATAAATTGGTCGGCCTAAAAAGATAAAGGGCAAATATACATAAAGACGCCTACATGACAAATCAAAAATAAACGCCGTTGCCATGGATTGAACTCGGGTCACCGAGTGACAGGCGGGAATACGTGCGACTATACTACAACGATTAGATGCTGCAGGAAACTACACAAATTTTTATAATAATTTTTCAAAAAAATGCTAAAATATTTATGTTCATATATCAGCACTTCCGAAACACAATCTAATTTTTATGTATGTATTTATCTATAAACCAATTAGGCCACGTTGACCTACGACTTGTAGACAACATTTATTCTAGACGTGAATTTCTTTTGTAAGTCTGTAATTTTGTTTTCAGCTGAGTCGAAAAAAACCTTCTGATTTATGTCAATTGCATTTGTTGTTCCCAATGCTTTGACCTACGACTTGACAGTCGATCATATATATTAGCAGACCAAAAACTAAAATATTCCCTCCCAGTCTCCCACCGCCACCCATTGCGCTACAAAAGGTAAAAATCTATCCACGAATGCCTACCCAATAATAAAGTTTATAGATATAAAGATAATATTTAACACTATAATTTATTTAGTATATTATAGACATGATCATTGTACTAACTATTTTTAACTAAATTTCAAGTTGAGTTTAATAAGTAATATAAATATAGATTATGCACTATATTGAATGTATATCAAATTATATTTAGATAATTATTAATTTTTCTTATTTCATTTGACTCCTTCATTGATTACAATACGAATACTATCCAAATTAAAATGAATAAGTACAATATAAACCTTGTGTATCAGATTAGAAGCATGATGAAAATATAACTATATGGAGACAAATTAGAAGTTTCTCTTTCTGTCAAATGCACTGAACCCGAGTTCTCAAGTTGATAGAGAAGTCAAAAGACAAGTATCCATTTCATATTACTCGCAGTTAGATTTTACCATAATTTACTCTATATTCAAATGTCATCATCACATTTTTCAAAACAATTGAATTCGTTTTTTTTTCCAATTTGCTTGACCTTTATCTTCATTTTTCATCGCACAAACTTATCTGTTTGTAGGGATATATTAACTCCAATAAAGTTCATCGGAGATGAGCTCTTTCGTCGTCCCTATACTAATCCATAAACAATGTTGCTATAAAACCAATTGGTTGGTTCCCTCATGGAACCAACATCCAATGATTTTGCTCCATGTGGGGCTGTCCCACATGGGCTCCATGTGAGACAGCCCCACATGGAGCTGTCTAATTGGGTGTTGGTTCCATAAGGGAACCAACCAGTTGGTTTTATAGCAACATTGTCCATTATTTTGTATTTAACAGATAATTGATATATATAACTGATTGAGTTAACTAATAGTTTATTAGCTAATTATGAAAAACATTTGAGAGACAAGTAATTATTTAAGGGGATGACTACATCCCCGTTACATGAGGGTTCTGTCTATTTTTAATCATTAGATAGACATATAGATTATGTAAAGTAGATAATCTACAGTTGTAGATATTGATGGAATCATTCCGTCAACATGACTGTAGTCATTTCCATTATTTAAGATATAAAAGCNTTAATTTACATATGAATCATTATATTGATGGCATGATTCATAATTTGGAGGGACCATAATTAATTAAATAGTTGAAAAAAATATTAGAAATAGTTTCGTTATTGTTAACAATATTTATGTGATTTTAACGGGTATGATTATACAACTAAACTAATTAACTGATATTACAGAAAATCGCTTAATAAGATGAAAAAAATAATATTTATTATGGAATAGATACTTTAGAGAAAATAATTTGCAATAGAATTTTTTATAAGTATATAACCTTCAAATGCAAATTAATGTAAACAAATGTAATATCCGTGTACTACACGGGTACTTGTTAAACAATTATTTTTAAAATTAAATAATAATAAAAACAACAATTATTTAAAATTAAAAATATGTATTTATTAGGCTAATTTGAGGTCTTCATGAAAATTAATGAGTCAATTGAGAGTTTTCAAAACAAATCAAGATTATTAGTAAATCAATATCATTACCATAGGTTCACATACAATTTAAGGGTTATATAGTCAAACTATTATGGAATTTCCAAGTTAGTTTTTAATATTTTTGGAATGTCCGAACTTAAAATTATTGATTTAGAATAATATTATTCTTTTATCTAAACCAAAC